CTGAGTTAGTTGGTAAGATACAGCGGTAAAAGTGGTTAGATTTAAATTGATGGGACTATAATTTAATTTTTAATTTTGTATATTTGGAATGTGGCTTTGCTTCAAATCCTATACTCATGTGCAAGTATTTGTGATGGATTATTAAGAGTGGAATAGCTGAAATCATAAAAATGAAGTCAGCAATTTTCTACTCTTATGAAATTGTTACTGTTTGTGAAATAAACTAGACTGGGCTGTCAGATTAGAGCTAAAAAAAAAACCAGATTTGGGCACTCTAAAGTAAAATCAGTGGAATACAGACTGATCCACCGTCATATTAACTTGGTTAGTTGCACTCTTTTTGTCCTATCCAGTTGGCATTCTTTAAAAAAGAATCTCCAAAATGTTTAGAATTCTTGATTATTCTTGAAATACTAGGTATTTCAACAGGAATTGAAGACTGGCCAGAGACTTGCTAGTACTTCTTTTAATGACTACATATGTATGAGCCATGGTGGGAAAGAGAAAATGCAGAAGAGTTGTGGGGATTTAAAATTAATTTCTTACTCAGCCAATTCCATTTAGAATTATATTTTTCTTAAGTTTTCGCGGGTACCTACATGTATGGTATTCGGCTTTGTTTTCCCACGTCATTATAGTTGTGCTTTTAAAGTTGTAGCAACGTTTCAGCAGAATCTCATCTGCCATCATCAGGCTTATGTATTGTGTTCGTCTGTGAGTCAGACAACTGTAAAAGTCTGACTCACAAACGAACACAATACAGAAGCCTGATGATGGCAGATGAAATTCTGCCGAAACGTTGCTACAACTTTAAAAGCACAACTCTAATAAGAAAAAGTTTTTAATAAAAAAAAATAAAAGTTCGGGAAAATATCCAAACAAAGCCGAATACCATACATACATACATACATACATACATACATACATACATACATATATTTGTTTGAGTGCATAAAATTAAATATAAATTAAAATGATTTTCCATACTATTACTTTATGTGCAAATCATGCTTCTGCTGCTATTGGCTTAGCCCAAGGGTCTTCAAACTTGGCAAGTTTAAGACTTGTGGACTTCAACTCCCAGAATTCCTGAGCTAACATGACTGGAGGAGGAATTCTGGGAGTTGAAGTCCACAAGTCTTAAAGCTGTCAAGTTTGAAGACTCCTGGCTTAGCCCAAGAATTTGGAATACTAACAAATTCAGTTCCCTAACTAATCCATCCCAAAGCTTACAATTAACAATTCTAACTCCTTAAATTCAATATGAGTAACTGTCTGATTTAGGAAAGCCAGTTTGTTAAAGTGGTAGAGACTGAGTTCTCCCAGTAGGGAGAAGCCAGCTGGGTGACCTCAGGCCAGTCATTCACGTTCATCCCTAAGAAGGAGACAAGGGCAAACCACTGTTTCCCAAGAATGCTGCAGGGACGAGTTCAGGCAATCACCATGAGACAAGAAGTGATTTGAAGGCACCCTCCCCGCCCAAGAAGTACAATATTCCATTGTCAGATTAAAATAGTTATTATTCATGAATAGATTTGTATAAAATTAAAAAAGCAACTGTTGTTGTTGTTTGTTCAATCAGAACAGTGATGGGAGTAGGGAGAGATACTGTATGTTAACCAATTTTGCTTTATCACTATTTTTCTACTCAGAATTGAGCAATCCTAACTACTTTTTGCCTTTGTTAAAATGCAATGATATATTCCACTTTTCTTACATAAATATAATTGAGCCTGATTCGATCAGGTCATACAGAAAGCATCATGGTTCCTTTTTCTCCCATGGAACAGTGGCTAGGTCAGGCAAACAGGAAAGGCAAAGTTAAAACTGCATCTAACATTTAAATCTTTCTATTTTCCATATCTATTTGAAGCCTTCCTTAGTTGCTTTTCTTTTCAAAACAAAAACATAAAATAAACTAGAATACTATTCAGCCATTCTAATTATTTGTTTACCTTTTAAGTTAAACTTGGATATTTACTCCATGCTTTTTATAATATTTTACATTTAGTAATACTGGACTAGGCAGGATTGTAAATTAATTCTTTTAACTATGAAGTTGTCTTCATAGTTACCTTGAAAAAGTTTGTGTCTTCAAGAACAAATAAATTATAACCTATAGAACTGAAGGAATGTGGTTTTCATCTGTCCAAACCCTTATACATGTACTCAGACAGTGGTTATCAAACTCAAGGAAATACTGTGGCCCGATAGTCTTCAACATTTTTAATAATGACTTGGATGATAGAATGAAAGGAATCTATATCAAGTTTGCACATGACCCAAATTTTGTCTAGGACAGCTAATACTCTAGAAGACAAAAATAAATAAATAAATCAAAATGATGTTGATAAGTTAGAAAAAATTAGTTTCTGTCCATGTTGTATGATTTTACAACTATGGGCACTTTTCAACTGGCTTCTTGTTATGGTTCCTATCTTCTGGAGTAGAAATTCATATAACTTCCACCTTGATTATCATTAGATAATATTGCTTTTAATGTTTTGGGCTTATGATTGTTTGTTTATTTATTGCCCAAAGCCAATCATAAAGGTAAAATACAACATATATGGTGAATAAAAAGAAAGAAAATTATAGAAAATTACATGAAATAACTCTTGGCTATTAATAAATTTTACAACCTTCTTAGACGTTTGTGAGAATTAATCTCATAGAAGATCAGTAATTTGATAATCACAAGTACAATTAAACTACTAAGAGTTGGAGCTTGGAGATTTGATCCCCGTCAGATATATAATGGGTATGTTCATAGTCCATTTCATGCAAGTTCAGCCTTTGAATGTGGGCAAGTATGGCTTTCCTTCACTGAGTTTTTTCAGGTAATGTTTAACAGTTTTTAATTTTTTTGTGCAGTAATGCTTAATTAGTGGAATTAGATTTTGATAATTAAAAAGGGGCATTTAGATTAAATGAACAGGGAGTTTATATACACATTATTAGGTATTTTTGTTTATTTTATTGCCTTTTTGCCAATTAATAAGGAGAGCTAAAGATTTAGAGATAAGTTTGTAGAAATGGTGCGAAGTATGGAATGAAGTTGTACTTGATTGTATTTTAAGAGTCAGGGATAAAATGTTGAGTATACATGCTGAGGATGAAGGGGGAAGTTACTTTTTGCCTTCATTCATGAAGTTTCTTTTTCTTACTGTTTCCCTTTTTGAATAATAGAAATAAGCCCATGGACAATGGATAAGCCAATGGAGGATAGTGTACTGACTGGGTTAAACCTCAGTGATTTCATTAATATAAAAGTGAACACTGGGGCAAATATGCATAATAACATAAAATATACATTTAATCAAGTTATAATGTTTCTCAGTGAGATGATATATCACATTGGTCCATGGTTGAATGATCAGATCCAGATTTAATCTACACTATTCAGGAAACAGTTGTGGAATCAAATGCAGGACCCAAAGCAAATAATCAAGGCTTACTGCAGTGTTTATAAAACAGCATGTGCTGGTGAGACTTCCTCGAAAGAATAACGAGAGAGATTCCACCCAACAAAGGGATGCACTCATATTTATACATTCATAAATGTGGGAGAGACAATGCATAAGCAATAGACGATGCAAGCATAGATATTCATAAATAAAATATCTCAAGTTAATATAGGTAATGGAGTTCAAGTTATTTCCTGTGCCTATTTTCCTCTGGAAGCCAAAACAGGGGGGCTAAGCCAATGACACAATAAAACAGGAAAGAAAACTTTTCTCATAAATGAAGAGGACAGGGCAGTGTAGGAATGCCAGGCACCAAAAAGAAAAAGCATTTCCCATTGCAAATCTGTGGAATTGTTTTAATGAGATAATAAACATTTTAATGACAATCTGAGAACTGAGTTCCCCCACACAGTTCAAGATAGGCTATGGGACAGATCCCACAAGTATTCTCTTGAGCATTTCATTATGCTCCTGGAGGATAGCCACAACTCACTTGCTTTCCTCAGGTGGAATGGACAGTCTGTCCTGCTGCTGTTGTCCTGATAAGATTTAAGCATCAATCCAGTTAATTTCCAAATCTCTTAGGTGTTATCTGAAGGAGCAAAGTGTTTGTAAAAATAGTGTTTGCAGAAAATAAATGTTGTACGCAGGTATTCAACAGAAAATATAGGGATGGTATGATGAGCAGAAGCTTCCGTTATCAACTCCCCACATCCACCCCTTTCACTCCTTCTGGATCTGTCTTGAGAATGGGGATGAAAACATTTTCATTTTACCCTGGGAAGAAAAGATGATATACTTGCAGACTTTCTTTTTTCTCCTTCGATAACCTCCCTTCCCTTCATGCCTTGATGTAAGCCTTCATTGATTAATCTTCAAGAATAGGATTTCTTAGGACTCTCAGGTTTCCTTAGTTGGAGAGAACAATATTGTGTATGCTTTGGCATCACACTTGATTAGGAGAAAAGCAGAGCCAGTTTAGAAGTAAAACATGGAAATCAGCATATTCCCTAACAAAGAAGGCTATGTTTTTTAAAGTTTGTCTTTGGTAATAAAGGTAGTAGTATTTTGAAATATTGCCATTATAATGTGTTTCATATCAGGCTACTTAACTTTTTATTGATTCATGAGAGTTAATATGTTGGAGAATAATGTATGTTTTTATCTGAAGATCTTGCAGATTCTTGGCTTATGCAATTACTTAGAGAAACATACCTTCGTATCTGTGATCACCATCTGATAGTAACATTCCTAAATCTTCCTCTTCCCTGTCTTTTTGCCAGGAGAAATCAGTGTTTTCCCCACCCTGACATTTTTTCCTTCAGACCCTGGAAGGAAAGTCATAGCCCAGAGGGTCCCCAACCAAAAGAGATCATTACTGAATGACTCTTAAATCTCCCTCGTGCTTTTTATGGCACATGCTGATAAATTATAGTTTGCAAAGTTTACCATGTTGATCAATCTATTTATCAATTAAACATTTCTTGGAAGTGTAGTTAGATCTTTCTGATTTGGCTTTTTGGTTTTATGTAGTCTCTACTATGGAAGATTATAAGGAGCAAGAAGCTGGGATGGACAACAATGTTACTCTGGTGCCTTTTGAAAGACCTGCTGTTATAGAGAAGCTGACAAGCAACATGGGAAAGCGTAAAAGCTCCACCCCACAGAAGTTTGTGGGTAAGCTTCAGATGAGCACTTTTGTTGTTTGTAGCAAAAAGGACAGCCTATGATTAAATCCTAAACTTTCGAATGCTCCCATTAGCATTTTCAGTATGGGCGTAAACCAGCTGGGGGAGGGGGAGATGAGGTAAACCAAGAAGGTCTAGAAACCTAAAATGGCCATAGCACCAATACTGTGGAATATAATTTGTAGCCCTCAGGAACTGGTGAATATCAATCATTCACTTTTTAATAATAATAAAAAAGCAAGGTTTTAGATCCTAGGAATAGGTGCAAGCTTGAAAATCTGGTGGTAAAAAAAGTATAACAGATTGTTCTGAGTAGAACATTTGTTCACATTATATTAGAAGGGATTTCTTTAAATTAGCATTAATATTTAACACTCTTACTCTACCCTCTGCTATGTTATACAATGCTATTTAAAACAAACATACTGTTGAAAGAATATTTTTCTTTATTCTACCTAAACCACAATAGAAGTATTCTAATCTAAGTATTATTGAGCTTGCCTTGTTAATGTTGGTCTCTCATTACAAAATCAGAGTGTGGAAAGTGAATACATGGACAAGACATGGTACAGCTCATAATTTTGTATGCCCTATGAGAGTTTTCAAGCAGTCAGGGAACAAGAAGGACATCCATCTGAATGAATTGCATGCATGTTTAAAAATAAATAAGTGGAAAACTGACAGAATAGCTGAATTTTTAAATTCTCAGAGGACAAAATAAATAAATAAAACGAGCAAAAACCCTCTAAAGCTCAGATGAAGAGTCCTGGGTGAGGTTGCTGTAGCTGTGAAGGACCCAGCAGACTTAGAGCTTGGAGTTTCTCCACTTGGTTTGCTGTAGGAATCCCTCATCTCACCTGAGACATAGCTAAGGTAATTAAGGAGTTATAGAAGCTTGTAAGCAATCCTAGCATTCACTTGAAGGCTTTATATTGGATCAAAAAGAGCTCCTGGGTGACCAGTAAAATAAATAAAAGCAGGGCAGTTCCATTTAGCTGCTTTTCACAAAAAAGGTTACCTTGCAGAAAGAGTTATATTTCATAAGAAATCTAAACATATTCAGCCTGATCCTCTTTTAAAATGATATTGAAATCTGATTCTAACATTGAATGACATGTAATAAATCAATACATTGGCAGTAATCCCCCTAATTAATGAATCTTCATTCTTCCTTGTTTATGAAAGCTTTACTTTGAAGAATAAATTGACCTATCATGATGGTTTAGAGTTGTATTTTCTCGATTCAGTTGTCTTGGTAGAAGCTTCAGCTATTCCCATCTGTGCCAGCAGAAAGATCAGAAACACAAAAAATGAGGATAAAATCCATCCTTATTTCTTAGAGAAGTATAGAAATTTATATTTAAAAAATAAATAACAGAACAAAGATGTTTTATATGCAATAGTTAAAATATTTGCACAATACAATAATTATGAAAATACGTGTTTCCTTTTTCAGAAATTATGCAAGAATATATTTATCTTTTTGATGTATGCATAATCACATATTAAATTGTGTAACATTTGTAAAGGAAGCTAATTCTATTTTGTGTGGATAGGATGATAATTTGAGCAAAGATCCCAGCAAAAGACAATAGTTTTACCTTTTCAGAAAAAAGGATTATACTCTAGTATAGAGAAAACTGAAAAGCTATGTCTTCCTAATCTAGAGACTGAACTTTACTCTCAAATTAAACTAAAACAGTATTGTATTCTTACAGTTGAAATTTCAGGGAAGGGAGTAAAAATGTCCTGCTTCAGAGAAAAGCTGAAAAAAATAAAAATAAATCCTTAGATTCAAAATATAATCCTCTAGAATCTGAGAAAATAAAATAACTCTTTATTCAATGTCATAATAACTACTGTAACCACATCCAATGAATAAATACTGTTTACAATTCTTCAGATCATGTATTAAAATTAACTATAGCTTTATCCATATTTATATTTTGTAGTTAAACATTTAGAGGCAGATGAAGAATTAGCTATGTAAGCATATTTCTTACCAAAATACCAGTAAGATATTGGTAATCTATCAGGTTTTAATTATAAATTCATTTTAAATTATCTGTCTCCAGTCTGGGATAGCATGTATGATGGAGCTTCTGACCTGGTGCCTTAGCTGTTGATAGAAACAGAGTTAGACCAAATCCTGCCAAGGCTGTGGATTGTGCCCAATAATGGCATATATTTGACCCACAGCTTGGGAGTTCTGAACTTCTGGATCCTGTTTGAATAGCAAATGGAGATTTTGGCCATTAGAACCTTTGACAGTTATATATCATGTGAGGTGGTTGTGGACTTTCCTGAATCAGGGACTTTTACTTAAAATCACTCAAGGCCTTGGCATTTCACAGCAGTACAATCTACAAGGGGCGGCACTGAAGATTGTTCAAAAGCTTCATTAATGCACTACACAGTAGTTCAGGGAGTTATGGGTAGGTGTCCTGAGCTTCACCTCTTTAATTGCAGTGGCTGCCAATTAGCCTCAGGATACAATTCAAGCCCTGCATGGCTTAGCCTTTGGATGTCACCATGATCATTTTCTCTATGTTGAATCAGCCTCTCCAATAAGATCTGGGAGAGTGGGCTTGTTAAGGTTTCATGGATCTCAGATTCAATCTTTCTTAGTGATAACACCTCTTTGGAATATCTTGTCCCCAAATATCCAGACCACACCATCCTTATTGTACTTCCATAGAGCTGTAGAAACATAGCTCCTTAGAAAGGTATTTTGAGATATGTAAGATCAAGCTAGCCCAACTAAAAACTGTAACCTTCTGAAAATCTTTGCAAATGGAGGGGCATATAATTTGTAGTCATAAATAAATAAGATCACACAAAATCAATAGGGGAATACTATGTACATATTCTAAAATATTTTTTTTCTTTTTATACATACAACAAAACAAAATATATGGCAGGTAAGGCACATCATACATATGTAATCACACAGCATATATTGATTTTTTTGAAAATGTAATTAAATCTTGACCATTCAAAATAATATTAATCAGTCTTTCCATTACATCAATGGAGTGTCAGTTCATAATGATAAAATGAGCAGTCATCTATAATCTAAGACTATAAATCATTCATTTATTGAATAATTTGCAATTGCTAATTAATGAAACCACCATAATTCTTTGTAGAATTGTATACCATTGGAAAAAGTAAGCAGGCAAATCCATTCCAAATGCTCTTTAATCAAGTTTATATGAAAATATGCAAAATAATGTTCTTGTGTAATTTGTTATGTGATTGACTGCAAATGTTATTGTATAAATATTTTAAAAGTTTAATGTCCTTTCCCCCCAACATTAAAGAATTCCAGAGTATGATTATGAAATCATATGAAAACAGAACTATGTAATATTACAGAGTAAAACCATAAAACAAAATAGCAAACATCCGTTCACAACCTGCATTGATTACAGGCAGGCCTCCAGGTGCAATTCAAGGTGTTCATTGTCATCTATAAAGCTATTTATGGTTTAGGGGCTTGATTTTATAGGGCTGCATCTTTCTAACTATTTCTCACCATTCTATAATATTTGCATTGTTCATATGCTCTGAGTCTCTTAAAAATAGTGTCATCATATGAGACCTATGCCTTCTCTCTGATTCTGAACGGTGACTCCTGCCCTCTGGAATAGCAATCCACCAATGGGACCAACCCTTTAGAAAAGATTTTAAAATGTGGATTTTCTAGCAGCCTTGAACAAGAGCAACTTGTATGTTATATTAAATACTATAATGTTTTAAATCTTTTAAATTTCCACAATGCAATTTTTGTTGTTTTTCATTGTTCTTACTTTATTTTTTAATTACTTGTACAATTAGGCAACCTTACAAATTGAATCAATCAATCAATAACAGTGAGCTTCAGATCTTCAGCTGATAGCCTACAGTAACTTCTTTTATCTTATTAGGTTTTTTTATCATTTTGTTTGTCATGAAAATCATTCCTTTTTTATTTGTTAAAAGCAATCTCTATCTTCTTGGGTAGAATCTAAACAACAGGAAGGAGAGAATCTGGAGTAAAAGTTTCCTAATACCACTTCTGGTAGCAATCCTTTAAATAGAAACTGAATTACTGAAATAACACACTTCCAGTTTGTTAATCATGGGGCTGGTCCAGCAAGATACTGGATTTTCAGTAATATTCCTCCCATCTTTCACTTAGCAAAGAATATGAGGGCAACTAAAGCTTTTATCAGTGATGCACTGATCAATGAAATTTGTCTAAATAATAAACTTCCTCTATTGTAGCTGGCCAATTAATTACAGTATGAGACTTCCTGTTAGGTACTTTCAGTCACAATAAGCAAAGATTTATAGAACAGGTAATCACCCTAACCCTTACAAGCAACTTAACTAATTCACAGATTTCACCAAGAGTCTTGACAACTGACTGGTATACAAAGATATGTAAATAAGTAATTACAGTAGGTGACAGTTACAAATTCTGACAGATATAATATCTATAGTTCCTGAAGTAACTATGGCATCTAAACTGGCGTGGGTGTTGAACATTTTAACTCTCCAACTATAGCATGGTGTTTTATTAACCAATGGATAATCACTTAAATATAGTGCTGAACAAGCTGTATACCTTTTTCACAGCACTACCAACACAGGAAGGTAATTTGTAATCAGAAGTATAAGATTTGCTTTGACTCCATTTTAGCTGAATACAGTCTTGTTTCATTGTTCAGCACGCATGAAAAACTAAGGAGTATTCGGAGTGGAATTTAGAATCAGAGGTAGTGCTCTGAAGTAGTAATTTTAGTCAGTAGCCCCTCTTCTCTCACCATTCAGTTACGTAACCATAGTCTTAAGGGAATTGACAGCTAAGTTGCTTGGAAAATCACCCAGGGCCAGCAAGAATCCTTGGATTTTATAAATCTCTGGAAGCAGACAATTGTAATAGGTGCCAATCATTGCCAGCTCATATCTTATTAGATCGTATCCATCAGTAACAAATAAGTGGTCTTCTCTCCATCGGTCCATAATAACCCCAAACCCAAATTGCTGTAATATATGTTAGCTCTATAATTGATATAGATGGTCCTCAGTTATCAATATAATTATAATATCCTGAATTGGACTTGAAAGAGTTAGTTAGCATAGGTTACTGAAATCCCCTATGTTTAATCCCTTACCATCTTCAATCCTAGATTGATTCTGCAATCACAAATGAGGATACAAGTAGAGAGTAAGCAATAAATCTCTATATTCCATATACAATTGTAGTAATTACCAGGAAAAAATGTGTGTATTTATGCATGTGATGCATGTTTTGGATTGTTTTAAATGTGTTTTTTTAATGATTGAAATCCTCCTGCTTCTCAGACTTATGCTGCTGTTACATTCAGTATTTCTTCAGAATAGTACAGAATCAGACTTTGCTCCTCCTTCAGTCATACATACCTGATTAAGTTTTCTTCATTCAATATCATATCAGGGTTGAATGTTATTCTATTATTATGAGAGTGAAGGTCAGCATGCCCTCCAAAAGTCACTTATAGGACAAAGGGAAAAATTATAACCATCCAGTTCCTCTGTTGTTGCAATCCTTTTACTATCTCATTCTTTCCCCTTTTCTAACCTCCTTCTTTAAGACTTCTTAAATCCTAAACTTCAAATTCCACCCCTCCCTTTCTTCCTTGATTTCTTGATTTGCTCAAATAGCCAGGATATTTGGGCATATACAGACATATTCAAATGATCCAAAATGACTGAGCTCAGTTCTGAAATTGGCAATGTAAGGATGTTAACAATCTGCACTGAACATGGGAAGAAGCATGATTTGTGTGCCACACATTTTTCATTTCTGATATATAATATTCTTGAAAAAAAATAGGTGATTCTAATAAATTTTGTCATCTGTGTCCATATAATGTCCATGTTGTTCTATATGGTTGTTTGGTTCTCAAATGATCAACATTTGAACCCAGATTTTATAAATTATAGTAGAATGTCTCATTTTTCTTCATTTTAGTTGCTTCAGTGCTTGAGGATTCCATATCTTGCATAGATTTTCACCTGACATATTTTAAAAGAAAGATACATTAATTTTATCTCTTTCCATATGTGAACTTTGTGTTCCCTGCATTATGGGAACTAATAATAAAATATCATATTTTTGACATTTGGAAAGTAGCATGTATTTTATTCTAATATATCTGAAGTGAGAACACATCACAATGAATTGAATTGAATTGACACAAATTATTGTAATTTTCGATTTTGTGGAGCTCCTATGAATTGTAAAATATGAAAGTTAAATAAATCACGGAATTTAAAAATGAAAATCTGAAGACAGTGGTTTTTTTACATTTATATTCCATTGCTGCTAATTTAGCAAATATTTCAAATTCTGCCAGAAGTCCCTTGCACAATTACTGGTTGGTAAATCCCATGAAATATAATTTCTTTTTAAGTAAACATTCCTGGGATTTTTTTTAATGTATCGGTTTCTGCCAATGAATTTGCATTGTTGATCTATCATTTCTTATCTTATTAGTGTTTTTTTTCTTCTTCTTACTGTTGTTTTCACGTAGGTGAAAAGCTCATGAGATATGGTTATCCAGATATTCATTTTGATCCAAGCTTACCATATGAGAGAGATGCTGAGCTGATGCAGACCCACATGATGGATCAAGCAATCAACAATGCGATCTCTTACCTTGGGGCAGAGGGACTTCACCCATTGATGCAGCACACTCCAAGCACAATTGCTGATGTGGCACCTGTCATAAGTTCATCTTATGCTCAGGTCTATAATCCAAGCAGGATAGAAAGACCAGTAAGCAGAGGAACCACTGATAGCAATGAAAATAACATGGATGGCCCTCTCTCCCTCATCAGACCAAAGAGTCATCCCCAAGAAAGAGAGGCTTCCCCTAGCAATAGCTGCCTCGATTCCTCTGACTCAGAGAGCAGCCACGAAGACCACCAGTCCTTTCAAGGAAACCTTGCCTTAAATCCCAAACGAAAGCAAAGTCCAGCTTACATGAAGGATGATTCCAAGGCTTTGGAGGTCAGTAAAGCATCAAAGGGCTCTTTAAAGGATATCTATAAGGTCTTCAATGGAGAAGGAGAGCAGATAAGGGCATTTAAGTGTGAACACTGTCGAATTCTTTTCCTGGACCATGTCATGTACACCATTCATATGGGGTGTCACGGCTACCGGGACCCCCTAGAATGCAACATTTGTGGATACCGGAGTCAGGACCGATATGAGTTCTCTTCCCACATTGTCCGAGGAGAACATACATTCCACTAAGCCTTCTTTTCCAAAGGAGACACTGAAGTAGAAAAACAAACACTGCACATGAAGAAATACTGCACTTGCAAGCCCACTTTTCCTCAGATGTTGACACAGCTCTTCTCGTTGGTTCTCTTCCTTGCAGCTATTTTTAATTAATGTTGTTTTTGTTGTTGCTGTTTTGGGGATCCAGTCTCACCTTACCACCAGTGGTGAGGTGAGAAGGAAGAAAAGGAGGGACCAGAGAGTAGTTTGGCTTATTGTTTTTGCTATGAAAATGGATGTTGCCCTTTCATGGTGGAAAGTGAAAGGGAGTTGATTTCTGTCACAATTTTCATATAGTTTTTTACATGCTGAACTCAGCAAGGTGCTCTGACATCTTAGCAAATTGCCGTTTGGGGAGAGAATAATAATTTCAAAAGAATAAAGCCCTTTTAAATATGTAGCTAAAATTTTGTTCAGGATGGGACATGAAATTCTTATTTTGCAAAAATCCTAGCAAAAGGGGTGTGCTTAGGGGCAGGGAGAGGTTTCACTTAAGACTAAATATGTTCTACAGATTTAGGAGCACCAATAAATAACAAGGTTTGCTTGAACGTTATTTCCTGAGGTGAGGTTCTTATAAGGTATTGGTTGTCTTGAATGTAAATGAATTTATATCTAAATGCTAAATTACATAACTGATATTTGATTTTTTCATGGGATGTGACATCCTCCAGGAAATCTGAAAACATAAAATGTTATTTTACTTATCCCAATATGCACTTTTAAAAAAGAAAGAAAATTGCTAGGATCCTTTTATGCCACTCATTTCCCAGCTTCCTATAGGTCTGTGTATTTTTTTAAAATTGTTAGGTGATTAACAATTGGAGTCTGGGTATGTTTACTCAAAAATAAGCTTCACCTGGTTCAGAAGGAGTTTATTTCCTAGTAAATATTCTTAGTTTAGAAATACAGATATGAATATTTATCTAGCAGGTTTTGCTGCTTTAGAATCTCAAATATGCTTATTACAAATGCATTTGAACTATGAAATACTTATATTTTATTTTCTTTTTACTTTTTGTGGTATGAAGCATTAAGAAACTGAGTAAGTTCTTCAGTCAGGAGATCTGTATCCTGAAACAGCTAGCTAGACTGCCCTAATGACTGAGGCAGCCTACAAATTGATACCTAATTTAATTATATAAGGATATGGAAACACTGTTAGAGCTACTTTATTATTGCCATCTTTTCTACACACACATAGGGAAAGAAATATATATTTTGTGCAAAAATATATCTTAGCACATTTTTAAAACTGCAGCAAGCAGAAACACACACACACACACACACACACACACACACACACACACACACACAAAGTAATCATAGTCATAAATAATGATTTCTTACTAAATAGGAGAACTTTTTTTTTCAAATGAAGCTGAATTGAACCAGGAGCCTTAGATTATGCACAGGCTGATTACTTGCCTGAAAAATAATTTCAGGTTTTAGTTACTCCCTTGATCATATTAACAAATAAAGACTACAGTGAATTACTAGGTTAGAAATATTAAGGCTTGATTATATGGCTCTGAATATAATATATGATCTGGATTTATAATATTTAATTTTATCAATCTTTTCCCCCTCAACTATACTGGTTAGTTGGGTTAGTTGGGTTTTTTAATAAAATCAGTGACTACCTCACATTTTTCTACATTTTTAGATATTTGCACATCTGGCTGTAAAATTACAAAGAGGATAGATTAAAAACCATACCTTTTCTGACTAGAACTTTTTGGGAAAGGATCTTGTGACCCTGCAGATATTGCTGAACTACAGCACAGCAAAGGGAAGGGGTTGCTAGGAGTTGCAGTTAAAAATATCTTCAGCACCATAGGCTACTGCCTCAGGTTGCCTCTCGAAACAAACCATTTGCTGTCTTTAATTTTACGTATTTCATTCAGCACATTCAAGCATAAAGAGGGTTAGTGAATTGGTTTCTAAAATGGAATTGAAAAACTAAAAGGTATGTTATTCTTTTTCATTACAAAATGGGAATGGCAGGCAAACATCCTATGCAGTCCAGTACATGATAGAAATTAAAGTAATTTTGCTTTAACATTTCCTTCAGAAAGCATGTTTCGCTTGTACATTCGGTGTCCAAAACAGGGTTCCTGAAGCCAGACTGTTGCTTCTTGCAATAGCAATAAAGATTTAAGTAACAAATTTGTCTAAAATAAATACAAGCCAAAAATTATAAACTACATACCTAGTATTAATATCAGATAAGAATTTCATGGCAGGAAGTGCCAGAACAAACAGTTCTATTCACAGTTGCTTGCCAGAAATTGTGGGTTATGTTTTACCCTCCAACAGAAGTGTTTCCCCTTCCCTCTGCCATTCCCCATTAATCCCAAAAAGTTTATCTGGAAGTTTGGGGACCTTCTGGATGTTGGATGGTACCCATTGACATTTTATGATTTGCATGGTCACTTGTACAATGTGAAACGAAGCTAAATCAGGAACCCTATGTTATCCAGAGGCTCAGTCAGTCAATCTGATTAATGACCTGCACCTATTTTTGGTGGAGATTAAAGTGGTTACCATTTGAAGATTATGAATGAATACATTTCAAATGAATATTCTGTTGTTTTTCTGAGCACTTGAACTAGTCCAGATTGAACTTGAGAATCTTGAATTAGAAGTAGATTGTAGGTGTTTCTGGCTTCTCCTATCTCATTTCTGAACATCTCTTGCACCCAGTTTCTGACCTACTTTTCTATCTTAAAAGCTGTTTAGAAAGGTCACTTGCAATGGTGGGATTCAGCTGGTTCACACCGATTCAGGTTAACCGGTTATTAAATTACCCAACCACTGCTATCAAAATGGATCCTGGGTGCTGCTCTGCGCTGCAATGGAGAAATGGGCAATGGAGCAGCCGGTGCAAGGGAAGAAGGCCACTTTCCCTCTTTCTTCTCCCTACTCCTCCTTCCCTTGTGCTGGCCGCTCCATTGCCCATTTCTCCATTGCAGCAGAGCACCCAGGATCCTCTTTGATAGTGGGGGGAGGGTAATTTAACAACTGGTTCACCCAGGGTCAGCTTGGCCATCTTGCATGTGCGGTGGAGCTGGGGGATGGGCTATGTCTCTCAAGACAGCCAACCTGACCCTTGGTGAATTGGTTAAATTATTTGAATCCCACTACTGGTCACTTGTCTTTAAAACAATTTTAAAAGATTCATGAACCCACAGATAAGTATATTTCACTCTGATCCTATACAATATTTTTCAAAATTATTTTCACTGTGCCTCTATGCTCCTGCATCAATCATAATGGAAGAAGAATTTTAAGAAAAAGCTGATATTTAAAATGGTAAAAACTGAAATATTTTATGCCTGGCAGGAGTCAACAAAAAGCTATTCAAAAGTTATTACCATGAAAATAAATTCACACACCGGTTAAACAATCCACTGTGATCTATTACATGTTTAAAATTATATATACCTAGACAGTTAGTAAAAGAATGTGGTCTCTTGCAGCCTCATCACAAAAAAGATGATATTTGGGAGGCCCATCTTCAGTAAAATAATAATCCTTTCCTTTATTATTTCCTATGGAAAAATATAAAATTTAGCCTGTGTACAGAATGTTAATGGAGTTATATACGTTACCTTCTCTGTTTCAGGTTCAGGAATTTCTTATTCATTTTGCATTCATCACAAAAAAGAAAAGACACAATCTCTCCCCAAAAGTATTTTATGCTATACTGTCTACAGTAAGGGCTGTCATGATATTTAATGTTTCTTATAAAACAGTGTGGTATGTTTATTAGAAGAGTGTGAAGTATTATTATAAGAACTGTGATCAAAATGAATAGGATGAGATATATAAGATCATCAGTTTTAAGTTTGAAATACTGTGTATATTTGGCACGATTAACATTTAAAAATTTGCTGCATATGAAATCTAATATTGGATTTTAAAGAGAGGACATGAATCTGCTGAAAGAAATTAATTGGAATCCACAAATGAAAGATAATCAATGTTGAGGTACCAGGAAAGGAACTCTTAATTTGATTTATCATTAACAATTTTATGTTATGGAGTTTCTTTTCAGCTTAAAAACCTCTAAAGGTTTTCAGAAATTGGAATTTCCCAACTTACAATTTGATTACTTGTACAAAGGAAGATGTTTCAAAGTAGTTTGCCAAGATTGTCATTATAAAATAATCCTGTTAGTTTTTTTTATAGGATACACTTTTGTTTCAACAGTAAAAACAAAAAGAACAATTTAAAATAAGGAAAGTAAATTTGATTTGGTTTGATTAAAATTTAATGTGGCTGTTCTCAATTCAAGAAGAGCCAGGGCTCCACTTGCAAATCTTGCCAGGCCTCATCCAGACTTTCACAGGAGACCATTTGGGAATTAAAAGATTCTAAAAACAGCCTAGAAGAAGGGAAGAGAAAGCTGCTCCCAAGTTCTCCCCCAGAAAACTACTGGCTATGCCTAGGAAAACGCCAAAGGTTGACTTTGACTTGTTCTTTCCTTATGAACAAGGAAGTCAAATGCCAGCTTCTAATAAGTGCAAATCTGAGTATGGATTTCTTAAAGGATTTACACAGATGCCAGGAGAGTCAAATATGTTTTGCTGTAATAACTTTTAGGCTAGTTACTAATCCTGGGGTTTAGGAGTAGGAATTAATAGTAGATCCCAAAGTAGGGACTTCTGTGCTTCAGAAAATCTTTCCTGTGTGGATGCTCTGCAAAGAGAAATCTCCCTGGAGCACAGTCTGAGCTCACACAGTTTATGGTGTGCCCAGACAAAGACTAAGGAGCCTCCAGGAGCCCTTTTGGAATTGAAATGCATCCAATATACTATAGCTCAGAGTAAGAGCCACCCTATTTTTTGAGGGAGTTTGTGGTTACTGATCTTTAATTGATTAAAGATGGCTTTTATCAAACTCTGCAGTTTTTTCTGTGGAACGATTTCAAAGCCACCTCTTAAAAAGTTGCTGTTGACCCAAAATACTCTGAGAAGAAATTGTTGCTTAGATTGAGATACGACCCTTGAGGACTATTACAAAAAATATAAACAGACAGGAATCCATATGAGTAGTCTGCAAGGGTGCTGATTATTTGCTTTATATGGTGATATATTTATATAAAGTTTTGATTTATAAGTCCACCAATTTATAATTGATAGTATCAAACAAAAAAGTGGAAGTGAAATTTTGGTGCCAAAAGCTCTGCTGTATTTTTCAAGATATTGGAAAATATCTTGTATTTTTCAATATACTGTATTTTTCAAGATATTTTTCAATATCTACACCCTTAATTTCTCAAGACATTCTGGAAGGATTTGGGCCTGAAGCCCCTGCAGAGGGCTTTGGAGGGTTTCCTTTCCTACCCGCTCCCCCAGGCTTCCAGAACAGGTTCCATTTCTATATCAGGAGCTGGAACTCCAGAAGGGAATTGCATGAGGCTGCGAGATACGGATTTGTGTGGGCTTCTGTGGGAAATGCTTGGCTGCGGAGCTCTGAAAAATCTTTCAAACCAAAGTTTTTATTCTGGATTCTTGTCCGCCAAATTCAGATATTTGAGGTTAAAAAAAATAGGGACATGTCCCACTCAAAATTTACAATTGTTTAAATTCCTATTAAATTTCACTGGAAGATAATCTTTTAATTCTCCCATGAGATTCAAACACTGGATCCTGTTCTTTGATTTTCAGATTTGTTTCAACTTTATACTGTATCAGTAGATACGCATGTTTAACAGAGAATAGGTTTAGTTATTTTGTAATAATTAAAATTTGAAACTGTGATCAGAGATTTGTCCTGTTATCAAGCACTCTCAAATCTTGATCATATTTACTTTTTATGTTACTTGTAGGAATTTTATTTTGCTTTGTTTTGGTCTTTTCCTGCCCATTTTTCTTATTTTCAGTTTTACTCTATCATAGCTCATGTTGCCTGCAACTTGATCTTGTTTCTAAATTTAATTTGTTATCTGTTCATTGGTTGTACAGTGTGTTTACATATTTTTGTACTTGAGTGTAGTTTTATATTAAAAAAACAATCTGGTAAATATAGCTAAATAATCTTTCCAACACTTTTAAATTTAGGATCATTAGAGATGACAGAGCTGTGGAGCTGTAATACTAAGTTGCCTTTCTTTATGTTGATGTTATTTTCTGGTTGTACTTTTTTTTTCTTAAGATGTACGACTTTTTGACAGATTGGAAATGTTTAATGCATAATTGTTTAGCAAAATTTAAACTGTAAAAATGTGTCATTTTTTTTTTTCCAGTGGAAGACTATGCTTGAAAAGTTTTGGGGTTATTCTATTCCTAGGCAAAAATTTCTGTACCCAAAATGTTGTATTTTTGCATCTTAATATTAGAACATGCTTTTAACAAGTTTGGAGCCACTATCCAGATTGTTTAGTTTAAGAGAGAAAAGATCGATTGTTCCATTTATGTGCAATAATCTCTCTGAAAGTTTTATAGTGCATTGAACATTGTTTGAATAATGATATTACATTTTGAAGCAAACTGCTGCCCAGAAAAAGTTCAGTGTTTTATTACATTGTTTTTTAACAGTCGAATCTTCAGGGAACCCCATCCACTTTGTTACTTTTACTGCTGGCCCATTGCAGCGAATCCTGGGCATGCCCTGATGGTACTCATGTAAATTTTTATGGGGTACAGCTCTGTTCATCACTGACTCACTGTAGCTGGAAGCATGACCAAGGCAGCAGCCCATTGCAGGAAAAGGAAAGCTGCCTTTCAGAAACACTGGGGTTTCATTCTCTCAGACACCCTGCTTTAGCTGTTGTTTTTGCTTTATCTAGAATAACAGCTCAGAGAGATGGAACAAATGGTTCGAAGCTGCTCTTGCCCTGGACTACCTGTTTGATTGTGCTGACAGACAAGTAGCAAAAGCTGCCCCAAATTTAAATGTAGCAGTTTAGCTGTGGGGATGTAACTGATAGGTATAGATGATCCCTTTCTTCTTAATGCTATTATCCATAACGTGCCTTTGATCGGTGCGGTCTTAGTGGTTTGCTTGCTAAAGCTAAGCATTTTCGTTTTCTCTTTTGTTTCGGTTTCATTATATATATATATAATATTTCATTGGGTAAAGCACTTAACAAAAATGGGCTGATCCTCACTGGAAATGTCCTTGGCATTGAAGACCCTTGGGTCAGACTCCAAATTCTCACTTTAGGCATTTATGTCTCTGGGATTTTTGTCTGCATGGAGGCAATTTTTTCACCAGGAAAGCTTATTTTTAATTCTTCTTGCCTTATCTATTATGGTAGGGCTTATTTTATATGTCATGCTTTATTTATATATCTAGAATATTTTAATACCTATTACTCAAATAGGTGAAGACTGCTATGTTGTAAATATGTATTTAGATACAGAATAAAAATCCTTGTGAATATTTGGTAGGGAAAGCTGTTACTGAACACCGAGGCCACTTTTGAGTGGTTGCTGGTTGGGGGTTGGGGAATGTGTATGTGCAAGATAGGGGGAAATAACCTTAGATTTTAAGCACTTGCCAAAAGAAAACAAGAGTTTAATAAATATTTTTATTTAAAGAAGTGAAGCACTTCATCAAGATTTGCATTGAGTTACACTGTTTCTGGAGGAAGGTCCACAAGTATTGCCTAGCTCATCAGCTAAGCCAACATTTGTGGTCACCATCTCTTCTTCCAGTTCATTCCCTTCAGTTTTCTGGCACACCCAGTGGGATTTAAGACAGAACCACAAACAATTTACCAAGTAAATAGGGAGCAAATACTTACTTATGAGTAGGCATGCTTGAGATTTCCCCCCCCCCCCTCCCTCTGTATCGAGAGACTGAGAAACAGAATCCTTGGAATCAATTGGAACAGACCCCTGCTGCTTCTTCCTTCTCCAGAATCTATTGCAAATGAGAGGTCTGGAAAAGGAATCCATGGACCCCTGGTGTTTTGTTTCCCAGAAGCACTTGTTTTTGGTAAAGAATTTGTGGGTACCTTGCTAGGGGGTGGGTGCTGCTATGCTGTATGAGAACAATCTCTCTGATATTTAGGTCATGGTGTGGAATTGGATTCCTTTTAAGGAACACGTGTCAACTTGCCATCAATTCTTAGGCTTTCCAAATTTCTGTCTTATATAGAGCAGAAAGCATGATTAAGTGACATAATGTGTCCATTATACTCCTTCAAGGAGTATGGCGGTTTTCGATCTCTCAGTATCTTCCCCACTTTTGCCATTTGCTGATCAGTTTCAAACTCTAATACCTTTTTTCCTCCAACTTAAATTTTGAGATTGGGTATAAATCACGCTTTACAAAGTAGTCATATTATTTCTATTTATTTTCATCCCAAATATTCTTTGCTTTATTTAAAGATGTTTGAAGTGACTCGGCAGGCGGGGTGGGGAAAATATGAACAAGCCAATGTTTACAAATAATAGAAAATGGTACTCTATAGATTTCCAGTCTGGCTGTATTATGATGGAATTTGATGTAATAGACATAATTTAGTAATGATTATAATAAAGTACATCCTTTCCTATCTATGGTCACTCATCCTAACTTTCAGCTAATGAGACTATGATTTAGAACCCAAATGTTAGAGACCAGGTCAAAAAATATATTAGAGTGACTCCTACCAGATTTGAAAGAGCTTTGGATCAGATCTATATCAGAATCTCTTGGAATAGTCTCTGTGG